CCCCAACTGCACCCCCCCCACCAACCTGGTTGCCCCTAACTGCCCCCCCCCCGCCCTGCTGGCTTGGTCACCTCTTACTGCCACCCCACTGGCCTGGTTGCCCCCAACTTCCCCCTTCTGCCAGCCTGGTCGCCCCTAACTGCCCCCCATGCCAGCCTGGTCACCCCCAACTACCCCCCCCACTGGCCTGGTTGCCCCCAACTACCCCCGCTGCCGGCCTGGTCGCCCCTCATGGCCCCCCTGCTGGCCTGGTTGCCCCACACAGCCTGCTGTTCAGTCATTTGGTTGTCCCTCACTAACCCCCCTGCTGGCCTGGTCGCCCCATGAAGCCTGCTGTTCAGTCGTTTGGTTGTCCCTCACTAACCCCCCTGCCAGTCTGGTCATAGGCAGCCATCTTGTGAGGGTGTGAGGGTTAATTTGCATATTACCTCTTTATTATATAGGATGGGCACAGAGTTTCAGTTTTGGAAAATGGGAAAAGTTCTAGAGCTGGATGGTGGTGATGGCTGCACAACAATGTAAATGTATTTAATGCCCCTAACTGTACACTTAAAAATGGTCAAAATGGTAAATATATGTAATGTCTATCTTACCACAATTAAAAAGAATGCCAAAGGGTTTCCATGATTACATAACAGACATAAATTACCTGGTCTATATATTGTGTATGTTTGAAATGCCAAGTTGAGATCAGCATTCTTAAGGATGTTCAACAAGGTTTCAGGAGACTCTTTGAGCCACTGCTTACGGCTATTATTTCCACTGTACTTTATTACAGAACCACCTAGTTGTGAAAAGATAAAACTTAGGGTCAAATAAAAAATATTTTTAGCACATTATCTTCCAGATCATATTTCAAGTAAAATTAATTATATTTTATTTTCTACTAAAATCTATTTCAGTCACGAATGACACCAAATAACCTTTACAGAATGACATCTTTAAAAAATATCTAGCCCATTAAACAACTATTAGAAAATGTTCCATAATAATAGTAATCTGACTACTAACCTCTATCATCCTCTGTGGTTAAACTGGAGGCAAGTATGGATGCATTTTCCAAAGCCGCAAGCGCTGTAGTGCATACATGTTTCTCCCACTGTCGCCTGAGAGGACTTGGTGAACCAGCTTTCCTATGATGGACTGATTTACCATCTGGTTTTAAATTGTAAAAAAGGACTGCTGAGCATATTCTTTTTATTTATTTACCTACTTATAGACATGTCTTTCTCTAACAATGAACAGAAATATTTATTTTCTCTTTCAAACTCAGATCTAACATGTTCTTCAAGTCTAGGTAGTAAAGGAAATGAAAAAAATCCAGATGAAAAAACAAAACAAATCATTAAGGTGAATTTAAAAAAATAATATATATATTTATATATTATACTCTGTACAAGAATGAAGCCCTGAGAGGACTTAGATACACACTGAATGCCATGCTTTTTATGGTGGAGAGCATAACAAATATTAGTTTTTCTAAAGGCTCTTATCCTATACTAGAGACCCGATGCACAAAATTCATGCAGAGTAGGCCTTCCTTCCCCCAGCTGCCGGCACCAGCTTCCCTCTGGCACCTGGGACCCGGGCTTCCCTCCAACACCGGAACCTGGGCTTCCCTTGCAGCCCGGCTTCATCCGGAAGGTTGTCTGGAAGGATGTTGGTCTAATTAGCATATTATGCTTTTATTATTAGAGATAATAAAAGGCTAATGTGCAAATCGACCAAACAGTGGAACAACTGTTCTCTATGATGCACACTGACCACCAGGGGGCAGACACTCAACGCAGGAGCTGCCCCTGGTGGTCAGTGCGTTCCCACAGGGGGAGCGCCACTCAGCCAGAAGCCAGGCTCATGGCTGGCGAGCACAGTGGCGGTGGCAGGAGCCTCTCCCACCTCCGCGGCAGCACTAAGGATGTCCAACTCCTGGCTTAGGCTCACTCCCCATGGGAGCTCCCGGACTTTGAGAGGGCACAGGCCGGGCTGAAGGATCCCCCCTCCCCCTGAGTGCACGAATTTTGTGTACCGGGCCTCTAGTTAATAAGTACTATTCTCTCTTTTTTTATGGATAAATAAGACACTTTTGAAATAAATTACTGGATTAGCAAATAAAAATCTGCATGTGTCCACTTGTTTGACACCTATGACCTAGTAATGCAAAAACTGGTCCCCCTTCTACTAGTATATTTCCCAGTCCCTCACTTACACAATGATCAGAATGTGAATAACTTACCTTTCTCTTCTCTGTTTACTCTCCTCAGTGCACTTGCCACTGAATTTTTATTAGTGCTTTCTAAATCAGGGTGGCTATATTTTCTGCCTTGTTCTTCCCCTTGCTTTAAAGGAGATTAAAAATTCAGATTAGTTAAAAAAAAATTCAGATTAAACAATGCTCGAATTGCTATAAAAAGGTAAATAAACAACTATACAAAGTCAGCTATTTTAATTTTAAATAAACATTAATGAATTAAAGACATTAATAATTATAGAACCCTATACATCAGATTATATTAAAAATAATATACATCCATATATGTATATTAAGTCAGGCACTACTAGCTGTTAATATCATTCATTACAAATATAAAGAGGATATATAAAATGACAGGTATTTGAGACCTTTTTTAAAGTCCTTTTTAAAAAATGTTTTTTATATTTTAGAGAGATAGAGAAACATCGACTGGTTGCCTGCACCCCAACCAGAGACAGACCCGCAAACTGGGCATATGCCCTGATCAGGAATCAAACCGGCAAACTTTTGGTGCACAGAATGAGCCATTCTGGCCAGGGTTTGAGAGGTCTTTGTAGAGGAAATAAGTAATAAAAAAATTTTAATATGGTTTGCTATATTGGGCTTTTCATGCTGGAAATATCAAAATGAGATATTTTTATGAAGTTGCTACATATGGCCAAAATGTTCCCATTTAATTCAGTATTTTTCCAAATTACCTAAGCTCTTGATTTCATGAAGCAACACACTACCTAGTCTTTAAATCTGAATGTATTTTGAGAAGAAATACATATCCAGTGCCTTGACAGTCTCCAACACACAGGTTCTCAATGATTTGTTGAATGAGTCAATAAATTAAATAGTAGGCTGTAGCTGACACCTTATTTTATTTCTATACAATGGTTCCCAAACTTGTCTCCCCACACATCTAGGGGGTATGATTTCAAAGGTCCCTCCCATAGACAAAGATGTCAAAATCTTGGGAGGTGGTTGTGATGAGCAGTTTTTAAAAGCTGCCAGGGATTCCCATCTTCCATCTCTACTGAGAGTCACTGCCCAATAGATAGCAGCGTCTAACACCACTCCTGGCCCAGCAACACTCAGCTCTGCCTACACACCCACCACACCTTGTGGGCCTATCCAGGACTCTCTTTCTCCCTCAATTTTTCTGTTACTTGACTTACTTTATGGCTCTTTCTCCCTTTTCATTTTGTGAAAACACATCGACTTAACACCTACTCTAAGTGGTATTAAAATCACAGTGGTGGCTGCCTGGGATGAGAGCCAGGATCATTTACAAAGGGGCACAAGAAAGCTTTTTTAGGGACATGGGATTTCTTTACCTTGACTGTGGTGGTTGTTATATGACTGTATAAATTACCAACATTCATCAAACTACATGCAAAAAGTAAGTAAATTTTATTGCATGCAAATTATGCCTCAACAGAGGCAGGATTTATTCCATGGGTAGCAACATAATGGTGGGATGTTGTTATTATTTATAATCTAAGGTTCATTAAAAAAAATTTATAAGTTTACTTACTAGCACATTCCATAAATAGAATAATTTGTTATTAGTACATCTTTTCCTTTTTGAGTTAAAAAGATTAAAATGCTGAAGAAAGAAAAACATCATCAGCAGGACACAATTTACTGAGAGGGCTGTGACAATACTAGGAAGTGAATCGACTGCTGCTATGCAAGACTTTATTGCAGCTTTCGTGTAAAAGCTGCCTAGGGCTAAACAAGACAAACAGAACCTTGAATGCCAGGCTGAAAAATGATGCCTTGGTTCATGGGATAATAAGGAGGTACTAAAAGGTTTTTAATAGAAAAATGTTCATATCAAAATAATGATCTAAATAAAAAAGAAAAATTCTGATACATGCTATAACATGGGTGAACCTAAAAAATATGGCCCAGCCGGTGTGGCTCAGTGGTTGAGCGTTGACCTATAAATCAGGAGGTGACAGTTCAATTCCTGGATAGGACACATGTCTGGGTTTCGGGCTCCATCCCCAGTAGGGGCATGCAAGAGGCAGCCAATCAATGATTCTCTTTCATCATTGATGTTTCTATCTCTCTCTCCCTTTCTCTCTCTGAAATCAATAAAAACATATATTTTTTAAAAGGTACCAACAGTTATTTAAAAATATACATATTATGCTAAGCAAAAGAAGCCAGGCATAAAAGGACAAATCTTGTACGATTCCACTTACATGAAATATCTAGAATAGGCAAATTATGTCAGAGAGACAGAAAGTAGAACAGAGGTTCCCAGGGACTGGGGTGGGCATGGGGGTGAGGAAGGAATGGGGAGTTATTGTTTAATAGGTACAGAGTTTCTGCTTGGAATGATGAAAAAGTATTGAAAACAGATAGTGCTGCTGGTTACACAATTTTGTGAATGTAATTAATTAATGCAACTGAATTGTATTTGTAAAAGTGACCGAAATAGTAAACTTTATGTTATAAATATATTTTGCCGCAATAAAAAAACAAACCAAAAGTCAGGCTAAAATAAGATTTTCATGACTTAAACTAGACAAAGTTCTCTCACATCCATATTGGAACCACTTGTCATCAATAATTAAAAATGAAAAAACAAACAAAATAAATGGTAATTTAAAGTGGCTCAGCTGGCAGTACAGGACAATAGCTACCAATTGCTTCACATGCCAAAAGATGACAAATTATTAAACTGGAGGGACCAGGTCAGTCTTCCAAATATTCCACAGTATCTAATGATACCAGGTATCCAGGAAATGGTTGTTTTATAAATTTAATTTTAAAGCACTTACCACTGTGCTTGCTTCTTTTTCCAAAGTGATCTTGATTCTGCTGGAGTCTGCATAAAGAGAAAAAAGAAAAAAAGAAAGCACATAAAGGCTCACATTACTAGCTCCTAATGTGATATGCATAAAGCCTGAGGCAAATGAAGTTTTTAAAGTCAAACAACCAAAGCATTAGCCTGATTGGTGATTATCAAGCTTTAGCCATCTAGTAATACATCTCACCTGGTTTTTGCTGTTTTATTCCTAAAGGTGACATCTGAAAGTTGACATCTATATTTAGTTAAGCCAACCCATTTAATCACAAAAAGGTAAGATACTCTGCATACTCAGAAGGTCATTATCACCTTCAGCCCAAGCTAGCTACAGTCTGTGCTTTTGCCCACAGCTGTGGTAGCAGGTGGAATAGCTGTCCTTCACCAGGGACCAGCAGCCGGAGAGAGCACTCTGGCAACTGATCCCTTTGGTAAGGATGGGGCCTTCCTGATTTTCCTCTGGCAGAGGCCAGCAGTCCATGTTCCTCACTCATTCAACATTTTAAAGACTTGATATTGAGCATCTACTGTATAATGACAGGCACTGAGGATACAACAGTGAGGAAATGAGACATGGTCCCTGCCCTCACAGAGCTTTCACTGTTCTTAGTCTATCTACAGAATAGATGGGAGATGCCACTAGACATATGGCCCCGATATGGTGGTACCTCTCTGCTGGCTTAGTTCTCTCTTTTTAGGAATTGTAAAACTACATTTTACCAAACTATCTTGAAACTTTTCTTAGACTATTTTTGTCGTGGTTGTTGCCCATCATTTTATTTTATTTACTAGAAGCCCGGTGCATGAAAATTCATGCACGGGAGGGGGAGTCCCTCAGCTTGTCCTGCCCCCTCTCACAGTCCGGGAGCCCTCAGGGGCGGGAGGCGACCCGGCGATCAGGGGACGGCGACACCCCCATCACACCTCTGCTGCTGCCACTGCTGGCAGCGCAAGCCTCAGCCCGCCCTGGTTACCTGAGCCTCGGGCGGCCCTGGGCAGCTGGGCAGCCGTCATCCAAGGCTTGCCTGCACCTCGGGCCTGCCCTGGGCAGCTGGGGGGCTGAGGGGACTGGGGGACTCCAGAGACAGACACGCGGAGTGGCCGGGGCCCGCCTAGGGGCAGGCCCAGCCTTGCCACACACCTGCCATTCCAGTGGGGCTGAGGGGACTGGGTGCTGCCATATTGTGGTTGTGGGTGCCGCCATCTTAGAGGGCTGGGCAGTTAATTAGCATATTCCCTCCTTATTGGCTGTGGGCACTGCCATCTTTGCGACGACATAAGGGTCAATTAGCATATTCCCTCTTTATTAGATAGGATTTTTTTTAATTTACTAAATTTTTTTTGGTGAAATATATTTTCATTGATTTCAGAGAGGAAGGGAGAGGGAGAGAGAAATAGAAACATCAATGATGAGAGAGAATCATTGACTGGCTGCCTCCTGCACACCCCACATTGGGGATCAAGCTCACAACCCAGGCATGTGCCCTGACCAGGAATTGAACCATGACCTCCTGGTTCATAGGTCTATGTTCAACCACTGAGTCATGCCAGCCAGGCAGCCCAGCATTTTAAAACTAATTTCCTACTACCCTGAGATGTGAATGAAAGCTACAAAATAGTACCTAAAGTAAAATTAACACTGAAACTGCTGAAGCAAAAGTAACTGGCTACCTCTTAAGTAATGGAGAAAAGGCTGAATTATAAGGCTGAAGGTTTACATCACTAGAAGGGTTTATATCCTTACAAAAATAACATTTAAAATTTAACTTTAAGAAAACAGTATAGTTTCCAAAGTCTTTCTTTTGCAGTATCTAACACTAAGATAACAAGCACCAAACAGTGGAGGTTTTGCAGCATGTCCTGTTCTTACAGTGGATGATCTGATGCTTAACTCTTCTCTCTTATTCTGGTCAGATCTATTATCTTTGTTGGATCTTTTCAGGAGGAAGATCTGAGTTACTAGTGACAAATTAAAAAAATGGCTTTGAAAAAATTAAGAGATGACAACTTTCAAAGGGACAATAAATTATATTTAAAATCTGCTCAGGCCCTGGCCGGCTTGGCTCAGTGGATAAAGCGTCAGCCTGCAGACTGATGGGTCCCAGGTTCAATTCCGGCCAAGGGCACATGCCTGGGTTGTGGGCTCGATCCCCAGTAGGGGGTGTGCAGGAGGCAGCCGATCAATGATTCTCTCTCATCATTGAAGTTTCTATCTCTCTCTCCTTCTCCCTTCCTCTCTGAAATCAATAAAGAAATACATTTTAAAAAATAAATAAATAAAATAAAATAAAATAAAATCTGCTCAGGATTTACTATAGATGTATGAAATTTTTGTGCAGCTATTATGTAAACAGTTCCAATTTTGTACAAGCTTGTTTTTTTGTTTTGTTTTTTAAATATATTGTTATTGATTTCAGAGAGGAAGGGGGAGGGAGAGAGAGACAGAAACATTAATGATGAGAGTCATCAATTGGCTGCCTCCTGTATGCCCCCTACTGGGGACTGACTGGGAATCAAACCTGGGAATCAAACTGTGACCTCCTGGTTCATTGGTAGATGCTCAACCACTAAGCCACACTGGCCAGGCTGTAAACCCTTGTTTTTAAAACTTTGTTTACAAGATGGTTCTTTGGGATATAATTTCTGATAAGATTAACATTATATTTTCATAGTTAAATTCCTAGGCTATCCACCCCACAGAAGCTTTCTACCTTACCCAAAACAAACCAGACTAAGTACGGTACCAATGATAAAACAGAAAACAATCTTTACATCACTAACATCTCCAAACTAAGCTTTTGGATCCCTGGCAAACTAAATATATAAGACTCAGTACAGAATTATGTCTTAAGTAACAGAAAGAAAATTTTGTTCTAGACAAAGTTCTCTCACATCCATATTGGAACCACTTGTCTTACTTTATGATCTGAGGAGTATCTCTGAAAAACATCTCTAATAACTTGAAGATTTCATTTTTCTTTTTTTGTTACACTACATTTAGAAAGAACACTTGACAAAAAAAATAAGCTTTCCGAAATTCTTACCCTTTTTTCTTGGTGTACTATGCTTAGATTTTTTGGTTTCTTCTAATACCTGCTCTCCAAATTCTGTGATGATCTAAAAATTTAAAGCAGAGAATTTAAAAATATATAATACCCTTTTCTTTAGACACTGTCATATCATTTAATTATCAACATCCTTCCCCAAAATAATATTGAACGTTAAAAAGTAAAAATGCTGTTTAAAAACATATATAATTTAGACACACAGACAAACAGACAATTATATATGTCTAGAAAAAGATCTGGGCCCTGGCCACGTAGCTCAGTTGATTACAGTGTCATCCTGAGGTGCCAAGGTTTCAGCTTGGATCTCCAGTCAGGGCACAAGCAGGAAGCAACCAATGAATGCATAAGTAAGTAGCATAACAAATCGATTTTCCTCTCTCTCTCTCTCTCTCTCTCTCTCTCTCTCTCGATAAATAAATAAATATAAAGAAAGAAAAAGATCTGAAAGGATATATAAAACTATACCTGTGATTACCCTTGGGAACCAGCATTATGGAAGGGGAAGAGGAGGGAAAGGAAGTTTTAACTTTTAATTTTTTTATGCACATCTACATTTGAGTTTTTACAAGCATGTATTCGTGTTTAAATATAACAAACATTTGAAAACTATGCACAGTCAACTCAACACATTGCATACCTGTGGGGTTAAGCACTTCTGGATAAGCCGAGCTAAAATGCCTCTAGAGAGAAGCGTGGTAGCTGAGGGGCGATGGGAAGGATTCCTTTTAAACATCTGCTTGATTAGATGCTGAAGCTCATAGGAATAATGAGATGGCAGTGGGCTCACAGACCCCTGACATACTTTGAGGATAAGACTTTTCCAACTATTTGCCTGAAACTAAAAATAAAATTGAACTGTAAAAGCAGATGCAAGGAAGGAGAATGCAAATAAGAAAACACCAGCTGAAGTGAATTCATATGAATTATTTTAATTTTATAAATGTTATCTGCTGCCTGGTCATTTTTCTTCCTGAAGGTGTTCTTATGATACTATCCAAAATCTTACGGCGGTTCAGGAGAAAGTAATACACTTAAATGGTAAATAACAAAGAACTTCCCCATCTAGAGAAAGTCTTACCATCAATACCAGCCATGGGTACTTGATTACTTATAATCAATGTTTTTGCAGATATACATTTTAAATATATTTTTCAAAATCAAAGCAATACAAAGATGACTTTTTTAAAAAGTCAAACGACACTAAGGGCTTATATAAGTATTGTATTTGTTTGCTTTACTCCTCCCCAGAAATCCCCAGGCCTGCTTCCTGGCAAAATGTACTTTAGATGACTTTTCCAGTTTTAAACATCTACTGCAAAATCTCTTTCACCTTTCATGTCATCAAAGTAGCTTTTAAAATTTGACAATATGCCCGGGCTGGATGGGTCAGTTGGTTGGAGCATCGTCCCATACACCAAAAGCTTATGGGTCCATCCCCGGGACCGGGCAATACGGGAAGCAACTGATCAATGTTCCTCTCTCATATTGATGGTTTTTTTCTCTCTCTCTCTTCCTGTCTCCCTAAAATCAATGAAAACTTATCCTCGGGTGAGGATTTAAAAAATTGACAATAGAGTAGGCTATAAAATGCCATAGTAGAAAAACATCTTTAAAGTTTTCATTGTATAATAAATATATTATACAATGAAAACATTAGATTCAGCCTTGATGATACTCATGTAGAACATGTTGCATTCTGCCTTGGATGTGTATTACCCTATTAATAAAATATACAAGTGCAGATATAATAAGGGAAAAATCAACATGTAATAAAGGAAAAATTCAGGTAATAAAAAATAAGATTGACTCTGCTTTCCCTCAGGCTTCTTAACTATTTCACTATGTTTGTCTGCATTTTGTGAAGGCTTGAGAACTACTTTTGCCTAAAAGCAGATGAGAGAACAAACTGTATGCCAAATATTCAGGGCACTATAGTCCTTAATAATTATTCTTGCTAGGGAAAACTGAGAACATATATATATATATATATATAAAAGTTTACAAAAAAGACAAAATCAGGGAAATAAAGAATATAATCATAAATAATATAATGGCATTTTAAAAGTAATTTTATTTGTATATAATAGTGGTTCTTCACTTGAGCCACACACTAGAATCACCATTTAAAAAATACTAATATCCCTGAACCCCTATGTTCATTGCAGTGTTATTTAGAACTAGTGGCCCAGTGCATGAAATTCGTGCATTGGGGGGTGGGGGAAGATGTCCCGCAGCCCGGCCTGCTCCCTGTCCAATCTGGGACCCCTTGGGGGATGTCCGACTGCCGGTTTAGGCCCGATCCCCCTAAACCAGCAGTTGGACATCCCTCTCACAATTCGGGACTGCTGGCTCCTAACCGCTCACCTGCCTGCCTGCCTGATCGCCCCTAACCATTCTGCCTGCCGGCCTGCTCACTCCCAACTGTGCCCCCCTGCCGGCCTGCTTGCCCCCAACTGCCACCCCCCGCCAGCCTGATCACCCCCAATTGCCCTCCCCTCCTGGCCTGATCACCCCTAACCGCCTCTGCCTCAGCCCCACAACCATGGCTTTGTCCGGAAGGATGTCTGGAAGGTCTCCCGGTCTAATTAGCATATTACCCTTTTATTAGTATAGATAGCCAAGATTTGGAAGCAGCCCAAGTGCCCACCAGTAGATGAGTGAATAAAACAGCTGTGGTACATTTACACAATGGAATACTACTTGACCATAAAAAAGAAAATCTCACCCTTTGTGACAGCATGGATGGAGCTGGAGAGTATTATGCCAAATGAAATAATCCAGTCAGAGAAAGACAAGTACCATATGATTTCACTCATATGTGGAATCTAATGAACAAAATAAACTAACAAACAAAATAGAAACAGACTCATTGATACAGAGAACAGACTGACAGCTGTCAGAGGGGAGGGGAGGGGGGGATGGGTGAAAAAGGTGAAGGGATTAAGCAAAAAACAAACAAAAACCTCATAGACAACAGTATATTGATTATAAGAGGGAAAGGGGGTAGGGGGAGGTAGGAGAAGGTAAAGGGGGGATAAATGGTGGTGGAAGGAGACTTGACTTGGGGCAGTGAAAATACAATATACAGATGATGTATTGTAGAACTGTACCCCTGAAACCTACATAATTTTATTAACTAACTGGAGGCCTGGTGTACGAATTTGTGCACCAGTAGGGTCCCTCGGCCTGGCCTGTCGGATCGAGTTGAAACCAGCTCTCCGACATCCCCTAAGGGGTCCCAGATTGCGAGAGGGTGCAGGCCAGGCTGAGGGATCCCACCGATGTACGATTGCGGCAGGGGAGGGACACAGGAGGTTGGCCAGCTGAGGAGGGACTGCGGGAGGGCTCCAGGGCGTGTCTGGCCCATCTTGCTCAGTCCTGATTGGCTGGACCACAGTAGCAAGCTAACCTACCAGTTGGAGCATCTGCCCCCTGGTGGTCAGTGCACGTCAGAGCGACTAGTTGACCGGTTGACTGTCTGCCCCCTGATGGTCAGTGCATGTCATAGCGAGCAGTTGAGTGGCCTTAGCATATCATTAGCATATTATGCTTTCATTGGTTGAATTGACGACCAGACGACCAGATACTTAGCATAGTAGGCTTTTATTAATAGGACTACAGGCCCAGTGCATGAAATTCATGCACGGGAGGAGGGATGTCCCTCAGCCCGGCCTGCACTCTCTCTAATCTGGGACCCCTTGGGGATGTCTAACTGCCGGGATTGGACCTAGACTGGCAGTCGGACATCCCTCTTGCAATCCGGGACCACTGGCTCCTAACCGCTCACCTGCCTGCCAGCCTGATCCCCATAACTGCTCTCCTCTGCCAGCCTGATCCCCCTAACTACTCTCCCCTGCCGGCCTAATCACCCTAACCGCTCTCCCCTGCCAGCCTGATCACCCCTTACTGCCTCTGCCTTGGCCCTGCCACCATGGTTTTGTCCAGAAGGACGTCCAGTCTAATTAGCATATTACCCTTGTATTAGTATAGATAGAGGCCTGGTGCACGGGTTGGGGCCAGCTGGTCTGCCCTGAAGGGGATCCTGGATCAGGGTAGGAGTCCCCTTGCGGGGTGGGGCCAGCCTGGGTGAAGGACCTGGGGCAGTTTGCAGGCCGGCCATGCCCCCATTGGAGTGGGGGTCCCCAATGGGGGCAGTGCCAGTCTGGGAGAGGGGCTGGGGAAGTTTGCAGGACAGCCACGCCCCCATTGGGGTGGGGGGGGTCCCTGCTGGGTGGTGTGGCCGGCCTGGGCGAGGGGCTGATGGCCGTTTGCAGGCTGGCCACGCCCCCATTGGGATGAGGGTCTCCACTGGGGGCAGGGTGGGCCTGGACAAGGGGCTGATGGCCGTTTGCAGGCTGACCACACCCCCATCGGGGTGGGGGTCTCTGCTGGGGGCAGGCCGGCCTGGGTGAGGGGCTGAGGGCTGTTTGTAGGCTGGCCACACCCCCATCGGGGTGGGGGTCTCTGCTGGGGGCAGGCCGGCCTGGGTGAGGGGCTGAGGGCTGTTTGTACGCTGGCCACACCCCCATCGGGGTGGGGGTCCCCGCTGGGGGCAGGCCAGCTTGGGCAAAGGGCTGAGGGCTGTTTGTAGGCCATCCACACCCCCATCGGGGTGGGGGGTCCCCACTGGGAGGCAAGAAGCTTGGGCGAGGGGCCTGAGGCAGTTTGCAGGCTGGCTAGCCCCCTGATGGGGTGGGGGTCCCTGCTGGGGGCGGGGTGGCCTAGGCCGGGGGGCAGGGCAGCCTGGGTGAGGGCCTGGAGGCAGTTTGCAGGCCAGCAAGCCCCTGGCTTTGTCTGGAAGGACATCAAGAAGGTCTCCTGGTCTAATTAACATATTACTTTTTTATTAGTATAGATGTCACCCCAATAAATTCAATTTAAAATAAAATAAAAATACTAATGTCCAGGATACCCTCAGAGACTTTAATTCAATTAGTCTGGTGTGGCCTAGGCATCAGTATTTTTTAAAGTTTCCCAAGTTGTTCTAATTATGCAGCTGGCATTATATTTAAGGAAGACAACCGCTCATTAACAGTGCATGCCTTCGGTTTGAGTTACTTTCATCTAGTGGTGATGAAGGATTTTTCTCAAATATTCACTCATAAGTCTACGTGCTCTCAAGCACATCTCTGAAAATGCTTGCTAGAGCTAAGTTTTAATCTGTGCTCAAAGAACAGAATTTATTTCCTTACAAAGCTAAGACCTAATAGGGATAGGTTCTGTGTAATAAACAACTACTGAGCAAGCAGGGCAAGTTATTTAACATCTTTTTTGTTAAATTATTTCTTAAAATATCTTGAAAAATGTCTATATATATAAAAGCCTAATATGCTAAGTGTCCATCTGACGGTTCGAGCAGTAGCTATGACGTGCACTGACCATCAGGGGGCAGATGCTGAACACAGGAGCTGCCCCCTGGTGGTCAGTGCGCTACCACAGCAGAAGCACTGCTTAGCTGACTGACGAGTGCCAGATGCCGGGTTCACAATTGGCAAGCGCAGCTGTGGCAGCATGAGCCTCTCCTGCAGACACTCCCTCTGCGCGCTCCTTCCCCATCCAGACCGGGACCAGGATCAGGACCGGCATCAAGACTGACTGGGCATGAGCCGGTGGCCGCTTCTCAGTCATGGGCGCGCCGGTATTGCCTTAGGACGAGCACGTGGAGACCACAGCAGAGCAGCAGCAAGCCTACCAAGTGGTGGTGGCAGGCGCAGTGGGGCCAGTATGAGCAGGAGCAGTGCGGTGCCCGGTCCGGGCTTGGGCTCCTCCCCGGCTGCCTGCCACTTCGCATACTACTACATCCCTCAGGGGATGTCAGACTGCTGGTTTCAGCCCGATCCCCACAGGCCAGGCCAAGGGACCCCACTGGTGCACGAATCTGTGCACCAGGCCTCCAGTCTATAATAATAAAAGTATAATATGCTAATTAGACAGGATGTCCTTCTGGACATTGTTCCGAACGACCTTCCGGATGAAGCCAGGACTGTGAGGGCCGAGGCAGCCACCACAGCGGCGGGGGCCAAGGCAGAGGAGGCAGCCACCACAGCGGCGGGGGCCAAGGCAGCCGCTGCGGCAGCGGGGGCTGAGCCCTTTGCACGAATTTTGTGCATCAGGCCTCTAGTATAATATAATATTCTATTTTCTCATAATAATTCATTTAGAGAAGAAATTCACATAAATGAAATCTAAGGGCAAAAAGATAAGTATAAAAATGGCGCTGCCACTCTGGAAAACAGTTTGGCGGTTCCTTAAAAAGCTAAACTTACAATTTCCATATGACCCAGCAAGTCCACTCCTAGGTGTACACCCAACACAATTGGAAATATGGATTCTAATACATACTTGTACACCCATGTTCATAGCAGCAGTACTCACAACAGCCAAAAGGTGGAAAGAACCCAAATGTCCGTCAATAGAGGATGGAAAAATAAAATATGGTGTAAACATACAATGGAATATTATCCTATATAATAAAAGCCTAGTATGCAAATCGACCAAACAGTGGAACGACTGGTCGCTATGATGCGCACTGACCACCAGGGGGCAGACGCTCAATGCAGGAGTTGCCCCCTGGTGGTCAGTGCACTCCCACAGGGGGAGCGCTGCTCAGCCAGAAGCTAGGCTCACGGCTGGTGAGGGCAGTGGCGATGGTGGGAGCCTCTTCCACCTCCGCTGCACGGGGATGACAAGGAGCACGAGGTTCCTGACTGTGAGAGCCCCATACTGCGAGAGGGATGTCCGCCTGCCGGCTTAGGCCCGATCCCTCAGTACACAAATCTCATGCACTGAGCCTCTAGTCCAGTCATAAAAAGGAATGAAATCCTGACACATGCTAGATGAACCTTGAAAACTTCATGCTATATGTAGTAAGCCAGACGTAAAAGAAAAAATTTTTGTATAATTCTACTTATATGTAATATTTGGAATATGCAAATTCATAGAGACAGGAAGTGGATTAGAGGTTACCAAGGCTTAGGTGAGAGGCAATGGGAAACTACTGTCTAATGGGTACAGAGTTTCTGTTTGGGGTGATAGAAAAGTTTTGCAAATAGATAGTAGTGATGGTTGCACAACATTGTGAAGTAATTAATGCCACTGAATTGTACAATTAAAAATAGTTAAAATGGTAAATTTTAGGTTATATATATTTTGCTCAAATAAAAATTAAGAATAGCAAAAAAGGGAGGGTGGGAGGGAGGACAAGAGGGAGGGGAGGGAGAGAGAAAGAAGGGAGAGAGGGAAAGAAGGAGGGAGGGAGGGGAGCTAGATATAGAACTACAAAAAACTAAATAATGGAAACTTCTATTAGTATATGCTACAAAAGTGACTCAAGGCAAAGATGATAGCAATGGAAACATGAAAACTTTCATAACGAATTCATCCTAGGGAAACAAACTGCCCACTGGACTTGGCATATAACTTATGACTTGGCCAGATATGACAAGAGGCCACCTTTCCATTTTGCCCACCACACTTACCGGGTGCTTCAGGGTACAGAGTTCATACAGAACGCATCCCAAGGACCAGATGTCACTAGAAACATAAAGAAGCAACGTGGGTTATGAGTTATCATATAAAAATATAGGTACTTCTCAATATTAAAAATGAAAAAATACCTTTAATAAGAACAGATATTGCAAATAATTCCTAGCTATTAAAATGAAATATATGGTAATGTTTATGTAATACTTAGGTAGTTGCTCACAATAATCTCTCTGCTCCCCAACCTCTAGGTTCTCCAAATCAGGGTGGTTCAGGTATCATTTCAGCAGTATTTGGTGAAAGAGAGAAACTTTGTGGACTCCCATCATCATAGTTGAAAGGAGGACTTTAGAAGTCATCCCGTACAGCTTACAACCAGACCATCTATGCACAACACCAGGCCTTGGATCTCACCTCCTGATGGCCAGCAATCTGCCTCCAGCACAGTTTGTGGCCCTGTTGAATGGCTTTAGGGCCGTGGTCGGCAAACCGCAGCTCGCGAGCCACATGCGGCTCTTTGGCCCCTTGACTGTGGCTCTTCCACAAAATACCACGTGGGGGCGCGCACGTACAGTGGAATTGAAATGTCGTGGCCCATGCGCAGAAGTCGGTATTTTGTGGAAGAGCCACACTCAAGGGGCCAAAGAGCCACATGTGGCTTGCGAGCCGCGGTTTGCCGAGCCGCAGTTTGCCGACCACTGCTCTAGGGGACCATTCACATCTTCTGGGGGACTCTCCCCCAATCCCTTGTAAGCTCTACGTTCCCAAACAAAGAGAGCAGGACTAGTTAATCCTTCCACAGAAGAGCTCTTCAAACAGAAAAGGGTCTATAATTTGCCCTATACATTCACTCTTCTTCAGCATCTCACCTCCTAGTTGTCATCCTCCAGACTTTTATAGATGATACTCTTTTTATTTTTACTAATGGTTTTTAGCAACTATTTCCCCCAAGTAGTAATTTTGTAGAGTCTGAAATCTACAGAGAAGTTATAAAGGCCCACATCCTCCTCCCTCCTTTCCCGTCCTGAACATCTGCCAGGTTTGCGTGCTGTCTCCCTCCTCCATCTATATCTCAAGCTCTTGAAAAAAAGTTGCTGATGTCACTCTACCCCCAAACACATGAGCATGTATCTCCTCAGAGCAAGGACACTCTCCCTCACGGCCAAGAAAGTTAACCTGAGTTCAATAATATACTCAAAACCGAAAATTTCCCAATTGTCCTGGTAAGTCCCTTTAGAGCTGTTTTGTCGCCAGTTCAGTCAATTTTACTCTTAAGAACTATTTAGTATGGATGATCATACCCTTTTCAGAAAGCAACTTGACGGAAGGTAACAAGAGCCTTTAGGTGTTTCTACTTCTAGGAATCCATGCTGAGAATGTGACACAGAACAGTTTATACACAAAAGGCACATTAATCACAGCACTGTTCATGACATTGAAAATTGGAAAAAACACCCTGGCTCAGTTGGTTGGGCGTCATGCATGCACTGAAAGGTTGCTGGTTCAGCCCTGGTTGCAGGCTCAATCCCCAGTAGGGGGCATGCAGGAGGCACTGACTGATGTGCTCTCACATTGATATTTCTCTCTTCTCCTTTCCTCTCTCTTTAAAAATCAATAAACTATTCTTTTAAAAAAAGAAAATTGGAAACAATAGAGGAATGTAAAGTAAATTTTGAAAGAGCCATGTATATAACTATTAAAAATATTTATAAAGAGTTTAAATATGGGATGAAATAAATATGATATAAAGTGAAAAAAGCAAGATACCAAATTGTATACAGTGAACATAAACAAGGTTTGGGGGTGGGAAGGGAAATGGATGAAAAAAAATTCCAAAATGGTTTTAACAGCTGTGAAAAAGTGGGTAATTGCCATTTCCTTTCTTGTACATCTCCATATTTCTAATACTCTCCCCCTACTCACTCATTCAATGGGCACATATTACTTATATTCAGAAAAAAGTTTTAGGTTTTAAATAATGTCTTCATTCTACCTTCTTGTAATCAAGTAACCTATCAGTCAAGTGCTCATGACCTAGTCCTGTAAATGTTAACTCAATGACATAATCCAGTGGTCCCTAAATTTTGCTGCACATTGGAATCATTTGGTGATCCTGGAAAAATTACTGAGGCCTGCTTCCCACCCCAGACATTCTCATTTAACTGGTATGATTGCAACTTGCACTTTGCAATTTTTAAAAGCGGGAACAGCAAAGTTTAAGAACCAGTGATATAAGTCACACTGTCCCTAGAAATGACTAGCCTTTCTTTCAGTATTTACATTCAGCTCCTCTCAACTCTGATTATAGCAGTTAGAAAACTATGATTTTATCTAGAAGCCTAGGAATTCAGATTTGTTTCAGGTATATTTAAAAAAAACAACAACTTCATTTGTAGGCTACAATGCCTGTCACCAAACAGTCACCCTCGCACCAAATAAGTACATCACCTACCTTTTATTGTTATAAGGCATGTTTTCCCAAATTTCCGGGGGCACATAATAAGGTGTTCCCACATAAGTACAAGCAAATGCCATGGGACTAAAAACATAGAAAGGCAAAGAGTAAGTACAGAGCATTCCTGAATAATGGATGCTTTGATTGCTCTCACTATTATAGAATAGATATACATACTTGGAGAGAAGATGGGCGGATCCAAAATCTCCCAGTTTTACTTGTCCATTTTGGGTGAGGAAGATGTTCTGCATTAAAAGAGAAGAGCTCAGATTATGTCTTCCATCATTCAAACATAAGGCAGAGGTCTCCAGAGAAGCTGTCTTTCAAAGCCTACTCACCATGGAGATTAAGGGCAGAAATGCTGACAGCTGAGTACCCAAGGGGAACACAAAGACCAGATAGCCTCTTGACTGCTACCTCCCCTCCCCCAGGACTTGAGAATTCAGGATGACTGCTTAGAAATCTAACAGCCATGCTCCAGGCTGTCTCAGCAGACCTGATTGACCTGACTGGGAACCTGTGTCAGCATAACTCCAAGTGGCACAACCAGATCTCAGTCATCTTCCATCTTTAGAAAGCAGTCACCAAGAGAGCTTGAAACTTATTAACATACTAGAGGCCTGGTGCACGAATTTGATCAGGTTCCCTGGGCCTGGCAGCAATCAGGAACGATCCGGACCATGGAGTTGGTAGCCCAATC